TGTGTATAGCGGGCAGGCCTGTTCCACGAACAAACAATTGCGCTCGGCAGCAGCACTCGACACCTAATTGACGTTCTTGTCCGCCTACCAGCAAACGGAGCATGAGCAAGATTTCGCACGGTCGGGTCCAGGAAAAGAAAGTCGTGATTTAGCCAACGAACGGCTAATGTCCGAGCCCGAAATATGAGGGTCCCGGGAGATGTCAGTGAAGGAAGACTCACGTTAATCCGTCTTCTGAGTGTGTCTGCACACATACACGCAATCCAAACCTCACACATCCCCCCGAGTATATATAATTCTGCTGGATCGGGATCGGTACTCCACCATTTCGTCTGCACAAGCGGCCAGTTTTACTTTAAATCCAATCTCCAACGGAGCCATGCCGCTGTCTGCAATCTGGACGAGAAGAGCAGCCAACGATGCAGCATCGAGCATCTACAGTCGAGAACCTGAAGTCACCCCAGTTCCCCCGCTCTCCATCCTGCGCAAGGGGAGGAGACCAACCAAATCTCCTGCAAGACATGATCTCCCGGAGATCAATCTGATCGACCATCAAATTGCGCTGGCCCGGGGAACAACCATGGCCCTGGAAACGACCCGTGTGCAGCTTCGAAATGTCAAAAAGAACGGTCCACGTTCGTTGCGAGACACCTTGGAAGAGAAGTGGCGACAATGGAAGCGTCAAGAGCATGAGAACCGGTTTTTCGGCACATGCCTCAAAATCTTCGACGACCTCGCGGCCGTGGCAGTCGAGGTGTCCGACGATCTGATCCTGCAGCATGGATTTGAACCCGAAGTCAGTCCAGTGGGAAACCGACGCATCTTCCTTGGGATGCGCAAGCTGCAAGTGGCCCTGTCCGACTCGCACGGGAAGGAAGCTCGAGCCAGAGAAGAATGGGACCGCCGCTTGAACCTTCCCAATATCCGTGCCCCACTACCACAGTGGATATGATGCCTTGTCGTAACTATTGGTTTCCTGTGCGCAGGCGTTCTACATGGCTCTTTGCGTTCGTTTTCCCATCGTGTCTCGATATAAGGTTGGATCTTCTCTGGAATGTGCTTGGAGGCGTGCTCGGATCAGCCCACTGTGCAGGCCAGCGAAACTGCGCACGTCTACAAGATTTGCCCAGATGAAACTATCCATTGCAACATACCAAGTAACTCC